AGTAGTAGTAGTAGCAGGAGGAGTAGCAGGAGGAAGAGTAGTAGTAGTAGTAGTAGTAGTAGTAGCAGTAGTAGTAGTAGTAGTAGTAGTAGTAGTAGTAGTAGTAGTGTAGTAGCAGCAATAGCAGCAGCAGCAGTAGTACCAGTAGTAGTGGTAACAGTAGTAGTAGTAGTAGTAGTAGTGGTGGTGGTGGTGGTAGTAGTAGTAGCAGCAGCAGCAGCGCAGCAGCAGTAGATCATGGCACGTTGCTAGTACGGCAGCCCTGTTGATGGTGAGGATGTTGCTGATGCAGCTGGTGGTGATGTTTTTATGAAACACGTGCATCAATGACAAGAGTGACAAGGAACTCATCACAGTGTTGGTAACGACGAGAGCAATAGGCTAGGGTTGGCAATCGTGGTGGGGATGACAGTGCAGAAGGTGCAGCAACGATGGTGATTCGGTTTATACGGTGTGTTGTTGTACTAATACTGAAATGCTCGTATCTTCACTCGTCAGAGCCCTACTGGTCACAACCGCCATGGTTTCAGTTGGTAGTGGTAGCGAGCGAGAATACTAGTCGTGATGGCAATGGGTGCAAGTGGTGATCGTGCTCGCTGGGAGAACAGTAGTTGTGCTGTAAGCATTCTGACAATTATGGCAATCAGTTGGTAAATGCCGGTAGTATTCAGGAGCAGTGTCATCACCACGGATGTTAGCATAATTCGTTGAAACACTACATGGTGCAGCCAAACGAATTTTCGGGCCCGGGTGTGGTACTGAAGGCTAGGCCAGGCTGCTGCAGTGCTTTGTCATACCTCACGACCTATAGCCACGACCCAAGCAGTGGCCTCTGCCGAGGCTGTGCTTGGTGTACATTGACAGAATTGTGAAGTTACACCCAGACTTCACGATATGCAGCCTGAACATACACAGGCAGCGCGTGGGTGGGGTTAGTAGGTTCGCTTCTGGGCTCACCGATGATGTCGGCGTTGCAGGGTCTCCCATGTGCAGTGGTTTGGTCCAAGGTGTAAACCAATCACGTTGGACGGGTGGCCGCGTGTGCACGGCAGACGGGCAAGTAAACAGAAACACACAGACAGCTAATCACGCGCATGCACACGTAGCAGTAGCGGATGAAACCGGATGTGTACTTGTAGTGCAAGGCCGAAGCAATCATCACTGAGCAATTAATCAACAAAGTAACCAATAGGGACGACTAAATAGCGATGGTGAAGTCAAGCATGCTTGAACCAAAGGAAGCAGACAGATTATTTAAAAGCAACCGCGTTTGCACAAAGGCGGATAAGCACGCAAGCACGCGTTGACAGCGTCCTATCTACCTGTCTACTTGTCTGCCCATGTTTAATTTGCGTACAGTGTGCATCCGCAGACGTGCATCTACGTATCTATCTTTCTATTTGTATATAACTGTATATACACACACAAAACACATGCATCTTCCTGTCGATTTTGCACATGTGTCCATACACATAAAAGTCTGCGACCCCGCCTAAAACCCCCAGCATCGGACTCAACATTTCCAGAATTCCAGATTCTTGGAGATTCAAGAGTTCCAAGTTTTCTTAACGCGAAAGTTCCAGAGGATCCAGGAATTCTGAAACCTTGAAGCTGGACTTGTTGGCTTACGAAGATCTGCAATTTTTCAATTCTGGAACGATTGAGTGGGAGAATCTTGGATCTTAGATCTTGGATCCTGGCCCGGGTTGAAACTCGTTCCTTCAATCCGGGTTTCGATCCTGGCACTTTGTTCATTCCCGGGATTGAAACCGGATTGAGTTTCAATCCGGGCCCGGATTGGATTTCAATCCTTCAATCCGATTTCGATCCTGTCGTGCACCAAGACTGTTCTTTGGCCAGACCAAACTGTGCCAAAGCATACCAACAAGCACTTCGATAATCCGAAATGACTATTGTGCTCGTTTTCTTACGAAATAAAGTTTTCTGTGGCTAGCGCACCAAGGACTGCATGTCAGTAGTATCAATTGCAAACTATAGACACTGGAACTTGTGTGACCTCTTTGAATAGTTGACCCGGAGTCGGGGAACTTGAGCCAGTCACCCTAGATTTTGACGTTAAGTCTTGAAACCTAACCTTAGTAAGAAGACACAAGCCAAGGTTTTCATAACTATGTTTCTCAAATGAAACATACCAAGAATCAATTTTCGTACTCGCTCTGACTTACAAGACTCCGACCAAAGTCTCCAGAACCATTGGCTACTAAGATAAGCTAACATACCAAACAACCAGTTACATCCTCCTTGTTTCTCAATGCAGCATCGGGGAATCTTCCCTTGCACTTTGTTTTCCGCGGCATTTGCTGCCTTGTGTCCCTTTCGGCTTCACCGTTCGTTGGTGCTATTTCATTCTGGAGTTTTTGGACTTTTTTGAGCATTACGGTGTTTCGGGTTCTGAAATTCTTGCAGCACTGTGTATTTCCAACCCTGAAACTCAGGAAACGCCATCATGCTCCAAAATTCAACACTCCAACATGTTGGGAGTTTTTGCACCCGCCTAGCCATCGATGCCAGATTTTTTTGTAATTTGTCAATTTTTTAGCATTACAGTTGTTCGTGAGTCTGAGGGTTGGTAATTTTGGAAGTTTTGAGCAGTACAGTGTTTCGTGTCCTGATTCCAAACATGGCAATTTAAAAAGAAATCCAACGTTTTCAATCGTGCAACTCACGAAGCCCTGTAATGCTCACGAAAAACCAATAGTTCCAACAGTTTGCAGATTTTCGCACCATGGATGCCGCAAGTTAGGTTGGTAGTCTTGGGATTCTTGGAGCAATGCAGTGTTTCGCGAATTTCAGGGTTGGACTGAGTTCCCGAAAGCTTCGCGAAGGGTTCTTCCGTGCGGAGCCCTTCAGAGTAAGTACATCGAGTGAAGTGCATCGAATCAAGTGCATAGTACACAGAGTGAAGTGCATCGTACATAGAGTGAAGTAGGTCAGAGTGACGTACATCGAGTGAAGTGCATCGAATCAAGTGCATAGTACACAGAGTACATCAGAGTGAAGAGTACCCGACTTATCT